TTGGGTCAGGCTTTATATTGCATTAGCTTTTCCTAGTTGTATTTTCTTTGGGAGTCATGTTCAGATGTATCAGTAACAAGCAATGTAATTTTGATTAAGAGATTTAACTTTTCTTGGCTTCAGTTTTCTGCATTGCACAATAAGAGCTTTGTATTCCATCTTCAAGACCTCTTTCAATTCTGGGGGTCCACCTGACTTTTTTTCTTTCCTTGTTCTGAAAGGAGACAGACTGATGTACTCCAGAGGACACTTTCTCGATGTGTGAATTTGGCAGTATGCTTAATCTTCTTGAGTTTCAGGTTCCTTATTTATAAAATTGGAATAATGTCTAATTTATAAGATGCATGAGATTTAAATGAGATTCCATATGCTCATAATATTATTTATTTTTCTCTTATGACATATTTGATCTGATGTAGGCTCTAGCAAGTGACATAATCTTCTAATGGGCAATGATAGATACTTGTTGAATACAATGCCTGAAGTGCCATTTTATAAGGTAAAACCTCTCAATATATCCATGAAGTTTTGGTGGGATGTTCAGAGGTATGCATCAGATATAGATCCTAGGATCAAACATTCACTTTACAAGGCAGCATTTATATAGCTGAGTCAAAATATAGCCCGTAATATGTCAATTTCCAAGCATTTCTTCTTGTTTATCTTTTATTAGATACTCATATATTCTTTGGCTTATCACAAATAATTTAACCAGTGATGCCATTTATTTCATAGTCTTATTTAACTCTGGCATACCTGAACATGTCAAAAGCACATGAGTTTATTCTCAAAATTCTGTTTTCTATTGGAAATGTAAATATTAAAGTACTTTACATAAAATATAATCTAATAACTAGTTATAGTTCTTTAGCCAGCCGATGTATAAAATATAATTTTTTGATTTTTTTAGCATTCTTTTGGACTTGGCCACATCAAGTGTTTCACAGAATGTTAGAAACAGACCATCACTAGATGGCAGTCTTTCTCCAAGTTACTGTTGGGGTGGGGGCAGGGGTTCAAGTACAGTGTTGACTACAAATATTAGGTTAAATTTTGTAGCTCTATGACCTTCCCAGAATTTAAGTCTTGTTTATTTTTGTTTTTAGCATTTTATATCAGATAGTCATGCTGATTTTCACTAAGTAAAGCTATGCATATACTTGAAATGTTGATTCAAGGTGAACTATTAGGTTGATTAATAGTTGCTTTTTTCTATGGTAGGTAATTAGAAATAAAACATTTAAATCAGTGGCTTAAATAATCACCTTCAATCTTATTTAAAAAAATTTTTTTAAAAAAGCTTTTATTTTTTATTTATTTATTTTTTTTTAATTGATTTTAGAGGGAGAGGAAGGGAGAGGTAGAGAGAGAAATATTGATGAGAACCCAGTCGGCATGGCTCAGTTGTTGAGCATCAAACTATGAATCAGCTGGTCACAGTTAGATTCCTGGTTTTGGCACAATGCTTGGGTTGTAGGCCTGTTCCCCAGTGGGGGTGGGGAAGGGGCATATAGGAGGCAGTTGATCAATGATTCTCTCTCATCACTGATGTTTCTATCTTTCTTTCCTCCCTTCCTTTCTGAAATAAAGATATATTAAAAAAACAGATTGATCTCTTAACTGGCTTGGCTCAGTGGATAGAGCATCGGCCTGCGGAAGGTCCCAGATTCGATTCCAGTCAAGGGCATGTACCTTGGTTGCGGGCACAACCCCAGTAGGGGGTGTGCAGGAGGCAGCTGATTGATGTTTCTCTCTCATCGATGTTTCTAGCTCCCTCTCCCTCTCTGTAAAAAAAATCAATAAAATATATTAAAAAGAAACACAGATTGAAAAAAAGAAACATCAACATCGATAGGCTGCCTCCTGCCTGCCCCCAATTGGGGATCAAGCTGAAAGCTGGGCCTGTTCCCTAACCAGGAATCCAACCAGTGACCTCATATATGTGCCTCTGCTTGCGCACACAAAATTAACATAAAAATCTGGAAATCGTAGATTTCCTGATGTATATCCATGGCATACAAGTTTACTACACATAGTCCCAAACCCCTGTTTTAAACATGTGGGTATTACATTTTATTCTAACTTTTAAAAATTCTCATGATATTCTGTATCAAGATACACTGTAAACCTTTGTGTTATGCAACATTACTCTTAATTAAAGAGAGTATTAGAATCATAAAGGCCCTAAAATAGGAGAAACAGGCAGGGGCTAATAATAGTTTATAGAAAATTTATTAAATTGCTTTGAACTACCTGTTTGGACTATTCTGAAAATGTATGATTGTTTTTTATTAATAATGTCTGATATACATTATTGTTGACTGAACTTGAAAGTGGAAGTGAATTCTAGATATTTAGAGTTGTGCTGATACTTCAGAGTATATGTAAGTGATTACTTCCTATTTTCTAAAAGAGCGATTAACAGAGTTGGTCGAAGACTCATGGCTAATTACATTGGTAAAACCAAGGCCACACAGCCAGGTAGCTAAAACCCATCTTTTCTTTCTTTAATATCTTTGATATATATATTTATAGGAAGTTAAAGGAGGTAAGGAGTAATTATTCACATGTTATAAATTTCTTACCTTTGGAATTTTCTTCTTGAGATTATCTTTTGTAATACTAATATAGATTGTTGGGAGGGAAAAATGAACAGAAGTTTTACATAATAAAAGGAAATAGACCTGCTACTTAAAAGCGTTACTGGTTCAAGATGTAACTGAATTTGAAACCAAGTTATCTAATATTGAATAATGTCTGCTTATGCCATTTAGATTGATAAGTTTTTAGTGGTTTATCCTTTTCTTCAAATGCAAGGAATTTTGATATCTTTACATGGAAACCTTTCTTTACTTTTTTTTTTTTCCCTAAAGGAGAAAGGTTATGCTTGAGGTTAGTTGAAATGTCAATGGTAGGGAGCTAGAGAGGTGAGAAATGAGGTTAGAAAGATAAAGGCTAGATAGATTCTGTGGACCATGGTAAGGGTTTAAGATTTTATTTTTCTTTTTAAAAGAGAGGCCCTGGGAGAAATTTAAGCAGGGGGATAACATCTGAATTATTGTTTTAACTACTGTGTGTAAACTGTATGCATTCAGGGAGAGAGAGGAGGGCGTGAAGAATGGAGAATGGAGACTTTTAGGAGGCTATTGCATTGTTTGAGTGTGGCAATGATGCAGACATGGTCTGGGGTTTTAGTGGACATAATAGGATGTGGTCAATTTTAAGATATGTTTTGGATATTGAGTTGTTAGGACTTTAATGGATTGGGATGAGAAGTATGATGGAAAGAGATGGATTAGATGTGATTCCTAGATTTGTATTTTTGACTTGGGTAACTGGATAGTGCCAGTAGCTGTGATGGATTGGCTGAGTGTGGGTGGGGGACATTTGGGGAAGGAACAGCTTTGGGAGTGGAGATAGTTTGGTAATAGATGCTTTTTAAAAAATATATATTTTTATTGACTTCAGAGATGAAGGAAGAGGGAGATAGAAACATCAATGATTAGAGAGAACCATTGATTGGCTGACTACTACACACCCTCCACTGGGAATTGTGCCTACAACCTGGGCATATACCTGACCGGAAATCAAACCATGACCTCTTGATTCATAGGTTGACACTCAACCACTGAGCCTCACTGGCTGGGCTAATTTTTTTCCTGTGTTCAGTTTGAGATGGCTTTTAAAATCCAATTGGAGTTGTTAAGTTGTGGCCAAATACTTGCTTCTAATATTCAGGAAAATGCACTGAATTGTAGGTATAAAGTAGGAGTAAGAAGGAAGTCATCACTAGTATATGAATGGTATTTTAAAGCCGTGGGATTAGATGGCACTAATTGGTGATAGAGAATAGAGAGGAGAAGAGATTTTAGGAATATTTAGAAAATGACAGAGAAGAAGGAGCCCATAAAGGAAATTGAGAAGGTTTGTCAGTGAAAGGATAAAAACTGCATTGGTGTGTGTCATTGAAGTCTATAGAAAATAGTATTTCAACAAGAAAAGTATGCTAAACCATAGCAAATGCTGCTATTAGATGGAGTAAGATGAATGCTAATATTGAGAGTGAGGAAGTGGAAAGGAGTTTTGCTGGGAAGGGGAGCAAAGAAATAAGATGGTACCTGGAGGGAAATGTGAATATAAAGACAGTTTTCGTGAAGTTATGGATATATATCTATAAGAATGATTTACTAGAGTGGAATAAAAATTCTATGCAGGGGAGGGATAAAAGGAAATAATTGCGGGAGTCAAGGTCTTGAGGAGACAACAAGGATTGTTGAGACATCTGTAGCTAAGAGCTTGAAGAACTTTTCCATTACAGAAGGGTGGACAGAGCAGGAGTTACAGATGCAGGTAAGTTAGATGATTTTAATGGGAGAAGAGGAAATACTTCTCTTTTCTTTGGTTAGCAGCTGAGAGTGAGTGGTGGACATTTGAAGAGAGGAGAAAGCAAGGTTTTTAATGATAGTTATTTTGGAATATACAAAGTGCCTTTTTTTTTTTTTCTTCCTGGTAGAGGTAGTAGATAAATTTAGTAGTATTATGTTGTGTTGTTTAAGTGCCTAACTTATATTTGTAGTGATATAGCCCACGTGAGTCTAGCTGGCACAGCTATGTGATTGTTCTCCAGCAGTGTCAGCTTCTTGGGTGTAGTCATGGAGTATTTCAAGTTGTGTTTATCCAAAATTTAAGTTTTTCTAGATTAATTTAATTGAGGGGAAAAAAAGTGCAAAGGACATGTAATTCAGTTCTTTATTTTATGATTAGAATTCTATGATGAATATTTTGAAACATTTAAATATTTTTGAATGAATAGGAAGCAAAATTATGGATTTTCCTAAAAAATACTCATCTAGCATCGAGACAGTATTATTATAGTTGGATTACTTTGTGGTTTATGTACTTTCATATCTAATTTCCAAATAAGTTTGCCTCTATGGTTGCAATTCTTTTTCTGTTTCTTAGAGTGAGTCTGGTGTAATCTTCATGCCATTTTTTTTAAGGTCTGTCTATGATGGTGAGGAACATGGACGATTCATGGAGAAGCTTGAAACTCGCATCCGCAATCATGACCGAGAAATTGAGAAAATGTGCAACTTTCACTACCAGGGTTTTGTGGACTCTATTACTGAACTGCTGAAAGTGAGAGGAGAAGCCCAAAAACTCAAAGTAAGAACATTCGAGGAGGGACTTTTTTCTCTCTGTCTTGTGCTAGAGTTTTGACTAGCATTAAAGGAATATATTATAGGTTACATATTTACTATAAGATTTTGTATAGTAAGAAAGGAATTTGTACTGACATATAGATAATTGGGATTATGGCTTTTAGCCAAAAAAAAGAAAACTTCTTAAAGTTAAATTTATTTGGGATAATTACATGTGATGAGAACCAATAACAGAATAAGTAATAGTTTCTTTAAAATAGAAATTCATGATACCTATCTACTTCCTTGTCAGATGAAAGTCATCCCTGAAGGATGATGGTATTGCAGAGCCTGACTATAGAAGTTGGCAGTATGGGAACATAATCCAAAGGAAAAAAATCAGTGATAGTTGTGGAGTGTCTTCTACCAAAGCATGAATTCTTTCTTGATATGACAAATTTAAATTCAGGAAGGAGGCTAGCCAGGTTAGTCTGATACCTGGTCTAGTAATTTCACTTCTCTTGGGTAACTGACTTTACTTATTGATTTTAAATCTAACCATTTCACCAAACTCTTCTATTATCCTCCTATATAATAAAAGCCTAATATGCTAAGTGTCTGGTCATCTGATCATCCATTCAACCAATTAAACCATAATATGCTAATGATATGCTAATGCTGCTCAATTGCTCGCTATGACATTCATTGACCACCAGGTGGCAGACAGTCGACTGGTCGCTATGATGTGAACTGACCACCAGGGGGCAGACGCTCCAACAGGTAGGTTAGATTGCTGCTGGGATTTGGCTGATTGGGACTGAGCAAGATGGGCCAGACATGCCCTGGAGGCCTCCCGCAGTCCCTCCCTGGCTGGCCAACCTCCCATGTCCATCCTCAGCCTCAATAGTGCTCTGGTGGGTTCCATTGGCCTGGCCTGCACCCTCTTGCAATCTGGGATCCATTGGGGGATGTTGGAGAGCCAGTTTTGGCCCGATCCCGCAGGCCAGGCCAAGGGATCCCAGTGGTGCACGAATTCATGCACTGGGCCTCTAGTTTTTAATAACTTATATGTATATTTTTTGAGTTTTCTATTAAACTAATTCATATGATCTACTAGTAATAAGAGCTTTATTTCCTTTTTCCCAGTCTTTATACTTCTAATTTCTTTATTTGGTTTTTGTTTTTATTTTGGTCTTATTAGAATTTGAATTAAAGTCCCCAAAGGATATTCCTGGATTATAGGTAACTTGACAGTGAGTGTAAAATCATCTATAATAATAAAATACTAATATTAATATTTTAATATTATAAAATAATATACTAATTAGACTAGACGTCTTTCCAGATGTTCTTCTGGACAATGCCAAAGTGGTGGGGGCCAAGGCAGAGGCCCCTGGCCGCCGCACTGTGGCAGAGGCAGCCACAGCAGTAGTAGGGGCTGAGGCAGAGGCTCTTGCTGCCATGGTAGTGCTAAGGATGTCTGATTGTGGGGAGTGGGCCTAAGCCATTAGTCAGACATCCCCCAGGAGCCCCTGCATTGTGAGAGCGTGCAGGCTGGGCTGAGAGACACCCCCGCAGGTTCACAAATTTCATGCACTGGGCCTCTAGTCTTATATAATAATAGACAAACATGTAAATTGACCATACCTCTGCTACCCCACCAGCCAATCATGAGCGATATGCAGATTAACCCAACAAAGATGGCGGCTAACTTGCATACATAGGCACCGAGTAACAGGGGTGGGACTTTCCCACCCCCTGTCTCTCAGGGTCTCTGGGCAGTGTGGGAAGGTGGGGCCAGAGCAGAAAGAGGCAGCTCCTGGAGCGGAAAGAGGCGGCTCCAGGGCCTGAGTGGAAAGGGGCTGGGCCGGAGTGGATAGGCGGTGTGGGCAGCCGGGAAAGGGAAAGCCCATTCTAGCACGAATCTTCATGCATTGGGCTTCTAGTATAAAATAATACATTGGTAAGAAAAGCAAATAAACAATTTTATTGAGGGGAAAAGTGGACTATTGGATGTTTAAAATTGTATTTTAAAAGCTGCAGTGATTTAAAAGCCAATTTGACAGCAAAATCTGATCTACATGGTATGAAGCTATCAAACTCCTTACTCAGCCATCCCAGCTTCACACCCTCACTTTGGCCTGTTCTTTTTTATGCTCCTTCAACACTTGTATTGCAAACATTTCTCTCCATTCTCTGTGACCCTCATTCATGCTGGGTGCCAGGATATTCTTTCTTCAGTTACTGAAATAGTCAAGTGTAGGCAGGTAGCAACAGAATATTGTCTATAATTCTCACCAATTGCTGATAACACTTATTGGTTGATACTCATCTTTTTCTTCAAGTTGCAAATTCCTTTAAATCACTCAGGATGTCCTTGAGGGAAGGCAAGAATTGGGAGTCCCAGTTCAGGTTTTTTGCTGCTCAGGCTCCATTCATTCATTCTAAGAATTGGCAGTATACCTTGGAGGCTCTGCTCTAGGGGATCTATTCAACTAGGATTAAGCACCTATGAAACCTAGAGGTTCTTGAACTCTAGAAAAGAGTTTAGAAATTGGAAAAGGTGCCGGGACCAGTTTGGCTCAGTGGATAGAGCGTCGGTCTGCGGTCTGAAGGGTCCCGGGTTCGATTCCGGTCAAGGGCATATACCTTGGTTGCAGGCACATCCCCAGTGGGGGGTGTGCAAGAAGTAACTGGTCGTGTTTCTCTCTCATCGACGTTTCTAACTCTCTGTCGCTCTCAGTTTCTCTGTGTAAAATCAATAAAATATATTTAAAAAAAAAGAAAAGAAAATGGAAAAGGTTAAGCATTAACTGTTCAATACTATTTTAACATAACAATGAAAATAAACTATTCTCTAGAGAGCCTATTTCTTTTGATTCACAGCATGTGTGTCTGATTGTGTGTATTTGTGTATTATGAATCTTGAGAAGTTGCATCCTAGAGTGGAAGTAGAGTTACTTTTCATTGTTATGTTAAAACTAGAGGCCTAGTGCATGAATTTTTGCATGGGTGGGGTCTGGCCTGCTGATCGTGCTGGACTGGCTTAGGGGAGGGGCTGCGGGTGGTTGGCTTGCTAGCCCCGCCCCTTGGTGGAACTCCCAGTTGAGGGGACAATTTGCATATTAGCCTTTTATTATATAGGATAGTATTGAAATAGTAATTTTTTATCGAAGCATTGTTAGGCTATTATGGATACATTTTAGTATCTGGTTTGCATGAAATCAATTAGTGGGATGTGATCAATATTCTTAACAAGAATTGATATGAAATAGACTAGACTAGACTAGACCATAAAGTGTATTACATGCAGTAAAGGTAAACAAAGCTTCTTGAAAAATTTGCTTCAGTTGTGTGTATATGTGTGTGTGTATTCCCTATACTGTGTACTGGGCTGCAGTATAAAATGTATTTTTTATAATGAGTACAAGGAAAAAAAATAAGAAATGTTTTTATATGGTAAACAAGGTATTCTAGCAGAATCAATGATGCTGTTTAGTAGTATTTATGGAAGGCTGAATTTTATGAGATGTCCAGTTTAGGGTAAAAAATAATCGAATTATTCTCTAATGACTGCTCTGAAGGGATAACACTGCCATTCAGAGCATCCTATCCCATTTTTATTCACATTGCTTAAAAGCTTTTTCTTGCACGACTTAATATTTATCCTATTTTCTAGTAACATCCATTTATTGGTTTGAGTACTAAGCACTATTTTTAGGATAACACCTTTTATCTGATGGCTTTTGAGATGTTTGAAGGACAGGTATGGACAGTATGGAGTATGGAGTATACAGTATACTATATATCTGCTGTGCTGTTCAGGTATGTAGTATACTGTATAATGCCCAGGTTTAGCATATAGTATCTCCAAAAGAATATTTCCCCCTCTTTGTGAGACCGGCTGAGTCTCTCCTAGAAAAGTTTGGAATTTCAATTAGTTGCTCCTCAAACTCTGTACCTAATTAGTGCCAGGTATGGCTTCCTGCAGCAGAGATTTTCTTGACCCTAATGGATATACTAGTACAGTTAAGCCCCTGAAAGATCCATTGCGAGACCTTACGCTCATTATAATGGTAAAAACACACACCGCTGTGTGGAGATTTAATGAAACATGCATGTATGCATGAAGAAGCATGTAGTTATACTGTAAAAGTGCCAAAGAGTCTTTGCCCCTATATACTTAGATGTCATATTTAGACATTATCTTTCCTCTTTCCATTTCTTTAAAACTGTTCTCTGGCTTTTGTTTAGGGAGCAGCATTTTCTTTTCTTCCTTTACATGTTGCTTCTCTGGGTGCTTGAACTGTATATGACTAACCCTACTTAATGTGGTGAACTCTCTAGATTTCTGGGTTGAAAGTTCCCAAGAACCCAGGTTGGTTAAATGGTGGAAATCTCCTCTGTCATGTAGGACACCTGGGTTTGATTCCGGTCAATGCCCTGGTCTCTGGTGATCTTCTTTTATTTCTATCCTGGGAAAATGAAAGGATCTTGGGCATAGGTAACATTTCAGCTAAAAATTCCTTTCTCTATTTTTCATGTGGGTAGCTTTGACTCCCTCTTCAAACATAATCATGTCTAATCATGCTTCAGTTTGCCAATGACTTTCCTAAAGATGGCATCTGAATCTAATTCTCATAGTGTGATTTTAAAGACTTACGGTCTCATTTATTGTAGACCAAAGATCAGCAAACTGTATCTTGCAGGCCAAATCCAGCTTGCCTCCTATTTTTGTAATTAAAGTTATTGGAACATAGCAATACCCATTCACTTACATTTTTGACTGCACTCTTGCTACAATGGCAGAGCTGAGTTTTTGCAACAGAGATTATCTACCTGGCCCTTTACAAAACAATTTGCTGGGGGAGTGAAGGGGGATTGGAATGGGAGATTGAGGACAATATGTGATACCTTAATCAATAAAGAAATTAAAAAAACACACAACAATTTGCTGACCCCTGTTTTAGACAACATGTTTATTAATGTAGTCTTAGAGCATTTGGATGGTTACATCCCACTCTCTTTTCTTAAAAAATCTATTTTTCATTGTTTAAAGTATATCTCCTTTTTCCCCCATTGACCTCTCCCCAGCCATTCCCACTTCCTAGTACATAACCTCGCCCCATTACTGTCTGTGTCCCTGAGTTATGCTTATATACATGCATACAAGTCCTTTAGTTGATCTCTTACCTCCCGACTCCCACCCCCCAACATCACACTCTTAATTCATGTTGAACTCACAGGCCAATAAAACTAAGTGTTTCTCATGTGATGCTATTAAGTAAGTAATCAAGAGGGAACTTTAGGATTTCTTGCTTCCGTTTTATACTTTATAAATATTTTCTGTAGGAGGTCAGAGTTCATTTTGTCTTTGAAAGGGGGTGCATATGGTAATCTGCTCTGAAAATGATAGTCCAGGTATGGTTTAGGGCAATGTTTTCCAAAGTATGTTACTGAAAAACTAGTTTCTTGATATGATCCCCAATAAATGGGTGTAATGCTAAATAACTTTGGAAAAGACTCTGTATGATGTCCCCTTCTTGGGCATTCACAGTGCATGTACTAAATTAAAGGCTTCAAGAAATCCTTAATAAACTCATCGTTCAGTGGTATTTCCCATACATATTGTGTATGTATGTGTGTTTGTGTGTGTATGTGTATTTGTGCATGTGTACACCTCTGTGTGCACATACAGAGTACCTGATAACTAACATTTCTTGGTGTTTCTAAGGAACATAATAGGGACTGCCTTAAAAGTATAAGTAGTAGCAGTTACTGGTAGAATGGTAGAGAGCCTTTGTCAAAGAAAGCTTTAGAAGTTAATATTGCTCATGTTTTAATAATGTCTGAGATGGTGAGGAATTACTATTCTATGTACTTATATGTTTTTATATCACTTGAGTCTTCAAAAGTAGATATCCCCAAAAGTGGTTCCAATTCCTTTAAATTATGAACTCTAGATAATTTTAAGGATTGTTCACATTGGGTTGACTACCTGATGGAGAGATTAATTTAGAAAAATGGGAATATGGAGACATTAGGGGCTGTCAACAATTAATGATACAAAAAGAATTAAGTTAAAATATTTTTTAAAGTTAAGATAATAAATAGGGTAAATTTGGCCTGAGTTAAAAAGGTCAATTTAACTTCCAGGAACACATTAGTAAAGAGAGGGATATCTATGATAAAATTTGTTCTTTTTGCACAAAGTAGAGATGGTAAGATTTTGTGTGGGTTATTTTTTCTACTTCTTTCTTTCTTTCTTTCTTTCTTTCTTTCTTTCTTTCTTTCTTTTCTTTTCTTTTCTTTTCTTTTCTTTTCTTTTTTCTTTTTTTTTTAATTCAAGTACGATGTTTAGTTGTTACAGTATTGTTTGGAATATTCAAAATGGAACATACCTCTTAGTAAATTTTTCTTTTCTGTTCTTTTTTTTTTTTTTTAATTTTCTTTTCATTGTTGAAGAGGCTATGCAACATTTAGTAGAAAAGTTGATATAATTTCAACCAAGAGGATGCCATTCCACCCAAATGTGGTGGAATACTGAAGTCAGTCTTTTCATTGTAAAATTTGATCTTATCCAACTGTTGCCTAAATGTTTGTTTTTATGAGTTTAAATTGTCTTCTCTCCACAGAATCAAGTGACGGACACTAATAGAAAACTACAACATGAGGGAAAGGAAGTAAGACCAGTTTACCTTTTGCAAAAAACCTTTTCTGTTCTGTCATTCTCTTTTAATGATTATATTCTTGACTTAGTCGCTTGTAAGACTGTAAGCATTATATTGGCGGAATTTGGATATTATTGTTGCTGCTCCTAATGTTTACTTGAATTAAATAAATGCAACCACTAGAAAGCTTAATGAGAGAGGATGTAGCCTTTCTTAGCTGAGTTTTTATTTTAAGTTTTTTTTTTTATTTTTAAAAATATATTTTATTGATTTTTTACAGAGAGGAAGAGAGAGGGATAGAGCGTTAGAAACATCGATGAGAAAGAATTATCGATCAGCTGCCTCTTGCACACCCCCTACAGGGGATGTGCCCGCAACCAAGGTACATGCCCTTGACCGGAATCGAACCTGGGACCTTTCAGTCCGCAGGCTGATGCTCTATCCACTGAGCCAAACCGGTCTGGGTTTTAGCTGAGTTTTTAAACCGCTTGCGTAGTCATCATAAGAACAGTGCTGTTCCCTCTGCCTGGAATGTTCTTTTCCCAATATTTATTCACTTCACACCTTTCTGTTTTGTAATGAGGTATTTTCCAGCCACCTTTATTTGAAATTGCAGTTTCACTCTCAACCTCCAGTATTCTTTTTACTTTTCTTGCTTTACTTTTCTCCATTACATCTATTGTGCTTTGATGTTATATATTCTTAATTATATATATATATATATATTTCAGCTTTTGGTCTATCTTCTTTCATTAGAAATTAAACTCCAGGAGGTCAAGAATTTTTGTTTTATATATAGCTATATCCCCTCTACCTGTCTAATTAGTGACTGGAACAAAATGGGTGCTCCTAAACACTTGTTAAAAAGATTTAATTAATATACTCATCAATTAAATCATCACAGTTTATAAGATTATTTTATATCCATTTTCTCACTTGATTTTCATAGCAGACTTAGGACAAAGTCAGGACAGTTGTTATCACTATTTTATTGATGAGGAATAAAACAGATGATTTGCTAAAGTTTATATAGTAAATGGGAAGGCAGGGACTAAAACTCAGATTTGTATGTAGTCCATTTCTTTTTTTTTGTATTATGTGTCTTTTAAAAAAAATATATTTTATTGATTTTTAACAGAGAGAAAGGGAGAGAGATAGAGAGCTAGAAACGTCGATGAGAGAGAAACATCGACCAGCTGCCTCTTGCACACCCCCTTCCGGGGATGTGCCCACAACCAAGGTATATGCCCTTGACCGGAATCGAACCTGGGACCTTTCAGTCGGCAGACCGACGCTCTACCACTGAGCCAAACCGGCTTCGGCTATGTGCCTTTCTTATTGTTTAATATTTATTGTTAACTCCCAATAATGTTGAAGATTAGCTCTTGATCTTAACTTACTCAGGGCCATTTTCTCTTGCTCTTTTTTGCATGGTATCTAAGCAGATGACATTTTCAGTTATGGATATGGGTATACTACAAGATGCTATGTAGATAAATTAGTACTTTTTGAAAGTTTGACTCATATTTTAAATTTCGCAGAGAGTAATTTCTTCTACTTTTATTGGGGTCTGACTGACATTAGACCAAAGCCTTTAAAAGAGCTTTGGATAAAAAAGTGAGTTACTCTTCACTAAACTGGAATTTTTAGAAAAGCACAACTTCTAAGTGTGTGGCTTATTTATTGAATAGAGGATTAGTTGAGATTATTTTCAAGACTCATTTGAAGTTGTGTAGGAAGGGTTACTTTTCTCTAGTACTCTAGCAATGATGGAAGAAATATAGGTTTTCTCAGAAGATGAAACCATAAACCATGAAGAATCTGAATAGGGTTTGAGAAAATCTGAACATTTTTTTGTTTCTCCTTGGATAGACTCTGAATTTTAGGATTTCATTTTACCTAGCCTTTCCTTCTATCTTGAGGAGAAAGTAGGAAACCACACAGGAATGTTTTACTGGTTGAGAAAGGTAGTTCCCTAGTTACTTGGCAGGTCTTACTATGAAACTGCCTGGGATTTTCTGATGAATTGAACACAGGGTGGAAAAATGTGACTGAAAGCTTTTTATTTACAGCTATTGGCATAATTCAGTTTTTTCCCCTCTTGCCAAGCTGGTAATAGCAATGGAAGAGCTGAAGCAGTGTCGACTACAACAGAGAAATATTTCTGCCACTGTTGATAAATTAATGCTGTGTCTTCCAGGTGAGGAATTAGAAATGGAGTAGGATTCTTAATGCAATTCCTTTAGCTTTAATTAGTGTTTCACTTTCTCTAAATAATGATTGTGTGCTTTCCCCCCTTCTCTTTCAAGTTCTGGAGATGTATAGCAAACTGAGGGACCAGATGAAAACTAAAAGGTAAGATTTTTAAAAATTGAATATTTTTTACCACCCAAAATTTCTGTTATTCAGAATACTTCAAAAGTATATATTTCGCATAACTTTTTAAAATAAAGTTCATATAACATTTTTTCTAGACCTTTATATATCTATTGATTTATTCTAAAATTTATTTACATATACGAGTGTTATGCTGATTTATTTTGTCATGTGTTGTGACAAAGTGTATTATGTTTAATAAATGTGTTAATACATAATAAATGTATTATGTTTAATAAGAAACACTACTCAGTTTGAGTTTAGAAGACCCAATCTTTCAGGGGAACAACCTATAACTGTTTTAGTGATAGATACATCAATGATCCTGCATGTCCCCTACTGGGGATCGAACCCGCAACACTGTGCATGTGCCCTTGACCAGAATTGAACCTGGGACCCTTTAGTCCACAGGTCGATATCTGTCTACTGAGGCAAACCACCTAGGGCTAGTGGAGCATTTTTTAACTGTCATTTTGATACACTTGGTTGGTAGTGTTGTTCAAATTTTCTATATCCTAATAATTTTGTATTTGTCAATTGTTGACAGAGGAGTATTAAAATTGCCTATTATGATTGTGGATTTGCATATGTCTTCTTTTCTGATCTATGTGTACTTTGACTCTCTCTTATTGGGTGCATACACATTTAGCATTTGTTTTATCTTCCTGGTGAACTAACCTAGTTATTATTATGGAGGGTTCCTCTGTATCCGGGTAATATTTCTTTTTCTTAAATATATGTATTAATGTAATCAATGCTGTTTTCTTTTTGTTTAATTTTTATATTGTCTCTTTAAAGTTTTTTTTTTTTTGTCTAAAATATTCTATCAGGTTTTTTGAGATATAATTCACATACTATTTGATTCATTCATTTAAAATGTACAATTCAGTGGTTTTTAGTATATTCACAAAGTTGTGCAACAATCACCACTGTCAATTTTAGAATGTTCTTATTCTTTCCAAAAGAAACTTTGAGTATCTTAGCCATCATTACCCAATCCTCTTCTGGTCTCTATCTTTCCTTGCAAGTTATGGGAAAACACCAGTTTACTTTCTTTCTCTATAGATTTACCTATTTTGGAATTTAATATTTATATAATAAAAGCCTAAATGACCATTATGGTGGAATGACCAGAACAACTGGTCACTATGATGTGCACTGACCACGAGGGGGCAGATGCTCAATGCAGGAGCTGCCTCCTGCTGGGCAGTGCGCTCCCAAGGGAGAGCGCTGCTCAGCCTGAAGTGCACTGGGCCTTTAGTAAATGGAATAATACAATATGTGGTTCTTTCTGATTAGCTTCTTTTCATTTAACATAAGGTTTTCAAGATTCATTCATGTTGTACTGTATGCCAGTTCTTAATTTCTTTTTATTGCTGAATAATATTTTATAATAGGGATATTATCACATTTTATTTAGTTATCATCAGTTGATGAACATTTGTGTTATTTCCATTTTTGGCTTTTCTGAGTAATGCTGCTATGAATTTTTGTTTAGAGGTTTATTTTGTGGAGAGATACTTTCATTTCTCTTGGTTATATACCTGGGAATAGAATTGCTAAATCATGTTTTAACTATATGTTTAACAATTTTAGGAAATGCCAGATTATTTGCCAAAGTAGCTGTGCTTTTACCTTCATACCATATACCAACAGCATGTGAAAATTTCTATTTCTGCACATCCCAGTCAATACTTATTATTGTTTGTCTTTTGATTATGGCTATTTTCATTGGTATGAAATTGTATCTTATCTTCGCTTTTGAAAACTATTTTTGATGAGTATAGAAGTCTAAGTTTATAGATTAATTAGTTATTCAAACATCATTTCTTTGTTTTTTGGCTTATGTAGCTTTCTAAGGAGAGGTATGTGATCCAGTCTTACATTTGTCTGTCTATATTTAATGTGCCATTTCTCCATCTGTTGTAAAACTTTTGTCTTTATCATTTGTTTTCAGCAATATGATTTTGATGCATGTGTGTATTTATTTTACTTGTGTTTTGTTTAGCTTCTTGGATTTGTGGGTTTAATTTCCAGAAAAACTGGAAAATTTTCAGATACTATTTTTCTCTCTCCTTTTTCCATTCTTATCCTGGGACTTAAATTACATGTATGTTGGAACAGAGGATCTATTCTGTTTTTTACTTCCTATCTTTTTTTCCTCTCTGTGTTTTATAATACATGGTATAGTTTTATTGTTGTTTTACATTGATTTCTCATTTTTCTTTTTTTGCATTGTATAATCTTTTATTCCTATTCTGGGGAAGTTTTTATTTCAGAAAATATATTCCTTACATTTAGTTTAATTTTTTAAAATGTTTAATTTCTCTTATTTTTTTGTGTTTTCAAATACAAGTATATAGCTTTACTCTCTGTTTTCACATACTTCTTTGCTAGTTCTGTCACTTTTGGCATTTTGGATCTCTTTCTGCAGACTGCTTTTGTTTTTCCTAGTTATAGGTCTTTTTTTTTTCTTTCTTATGTCTAGTAATTTTTGATTGAATAATGGACATTATATTATCTTAAAGGGTGTCTGAATGTGGGGGGCAATTTTTTTTCTTAGAGAGTGTTGGTCTTTGTTTCAGCAAATGGTTTAGTTGTTTGCAGGTTTGTTTAAACTCCATTTTAAAGTTTTACCTTCATTCAGGGATATTTCAGAATAGTATTCATCTTCCTGAATAACTCAGGAATCCTCAAGGGCTCTTCAGCTTGGCTGTATGAATATTTCTCAATGCCTGGAAGTGTTTACGTTATATCTCCATGTTGTCTCTTTCTCGCGCATGCGCTCTCGCTCTCTCTCTTTCTCTCTCTCTCTCTCTCTCTCTCTCTCTCTCTCTCTCTCTCTCTCTCTCTCTCTCTCTCTCTCTCTCTCTCTCTCCATCTTCCCTTCCTTCCCCACTGTTTCTTCATTCTTTTTGCCTGTCCATGTGGAATTTCATTTTTCTTATGCCTGGCCTAGTACTTAGCAAAGACTCAAGGGAACCCCTGTGTAGATTTCTGCATTTATTTTCTGCATTCCTCCCTTTTCTTTTTGAATTCTGCTGCACAACCTCAAGGTATGTCAGCTTTCCTGAACTCTTCTGACTCCAGTGCTGCTAAGCTGTTGGATTCTGTTTGGGTTTTCTCTGACTTTGTCCATGATCTAGAAATCACCTTCAGATAGATAACTCATATAATTATTAAGTTCATCTTATTTGTTTCCATTTTTCAGAGATTATAGTTGTTACCTGAAGTCTACTATCTGAAAACAATTGTTTTATATATTTTAGCCAGTATTCTACTTTTTGGACATTCATGTAGTTTCTTATTAGTTCTTCATGGTTGGAAGCATAGTTTTTATTTTTTTACTTTTTAAGCTGTAATTACTGATTATACTAGTAGGTTTTATGTTCCCTAAGGAAAGATATCTGACCATCTTTCTATCTTTAGCTCATAGAAGGGATTAAGTAGTTGTTAATGATGTTCTTTGATTAGGAAAGACACTAATTTTCTGTGGTGAACGTTTTTATTTCCATACTATGAATTTTAAAAAATTGTGATCTGTTTAAAAAATCACTGTTAGCCTGGCAGGTATGACTCAGGGGTTGAGCTTCAACCTATGGACCAAAGGTCATGGTTTGATTCCTGGTCAGGGCACATACTCAAGTTGGGGTTGCAGGCTGGGTTCCCAGGAGGCAGAGCTGATCAATGATTCTCTCCCATCATTGATGTTTCTATTTTTCTCTCCCTCTTCCTTCCTCTCTGAAATCAATAAAAAATATTTTTAAAAAAATCAGATTATAGTTTTAAAAACCATTTTTGTGAAACAGTTCTTTACCTGGCAAGGAAGTACAAAATTTAATTATCCTAAAATCAATATTTCTTATGATAGCATTCAACCATGTCTAAATTATTCTGACTTTAGTTATCCAGTTTATAGGATTTTTTAGACCTCTTTTCCTGTTACCTTTCTTGGTATTCCCCCCCCCCCCCCTTTTTAAAAAAACACACACATATTTTATTGATTTTTCACAGAGAGGAAGAGAGAGGGATAGAGAGCCAGAAACATCGATGAGAGAATATCATCGATCAGCTGCCTCTTGTACACCCCCTACTGGGGATGTGCCCGCAACCAAGGTACATCCCCTTGACTGGAATCGAACCCGGTACCTTTCAGTCCATAGGCCGACGCTTTATCCACTGAGCCAAATCGGTTTCGGTTTTGTATTCCCTTTTTAATTTTATTTATTTTCTTTTTGCTCACATTACTATAAGGTAGCCTGCATGAGGGGGAGAGGCGGATAGCTAATACACATGCAAATAAAGCTTAGAATTTGTTCTTTTGATTCCGTTTTAATAATGTTTAGAGGTTGCCAAAGTAATGTCTAAATCTTGTTTTAGATTTCCATGGCCGTTGGGAATAGAATTTTTTTCTTTTGGTGTCTGCTATACAGGTGTTTAATTGGCTATTGTTCTTTAACCTGTCACTGATATTTGAAATACACCAGAAGTTTGAATAATCTTTTTGAAGTGTTATAGTGAGAACATGAATATAATAGAGGAAAGACAATGGGGAAATAAGGTAACATTCTTTGTTGCTGGGAATCATTGGGTTTTATACTAATTAGCTTTGGTAGAGTTGACAGACCAGATGTTTTCGGCATGGAGCCATGTGTCTCATCAGTGACTGTGTCTCACAGGCAACATTGTTAGATTTTCTATAAACAATGTTCCAAAATATAAGTAAACCCCAAAGTGTGTTTATCTTTTTGGCTTAATTTCTGGCTTTCTGTCCATTCTGAAGTTTCTCTCTAGAGAAATTGCATTTTATTGCACATCGCTCTTTGTACCTAGTTGTACTATAAACACCATTCTGTTTACACAAATCATGTGAATTGCACTGTTTTTGAGTCTGTAAATTTTAATAAAACCAACCATTTCAGATTAAACTATATTTATATTTTTATTTCTAAATTTAGAAGAAATAAACCTTTCTTTCT